AAAGAAAAATGGTCATTCTTGCTATTCTTCTACCTTTAGCAAGTAAACCCGCGGTCCCCCATCCACCAACACATAAAAATGCATGTACCAAATCAAAGACATGCACAAACACATGGACAGCAAACAGAAGCCCTGGTACACTGACTAAGCTCCAAAAAGAATTGGGCAAGTTCCTAAGTCAAGATATCTATGTTCTTTTCGGTCAAATAAACTCATGCTTATGCAAAACTCAACAATATAAATAAAGCAACCACAATAGATAACGGGAGTTTGTAAATCTGTGTAGTTCAACAATTTAACAAAAGTCAATGCTATTCTGGGTTCCATCATGAAAGAAGGATACATGTAAAAAGATGCAAACTACAGAAGGGAGCAAGCAAACCAGCATATTTTTATCAGCATGGCATGTGGTAAAAACTAGAGGGGAAGATTTAGCAAACCTTGTCCTAGACTGGGTGACAAGAACTGATCCCCTAGGTGAGTCCATTAAGATTTCCATGTCTTTCCAGAAGGAATCCTGAGTGAAAACCTCATGCTTTAAAGAATTAATGTTTATTTGGTTGAGCTTTTCAATCAATTGATCACCTGATGCCTTAGAGTCTTGGCTACTTCTCCAAAATTTACACCAATTGGCAATCCGGTTAAATAAAGCTGACCTCTTTCCTGAGTGATTTTCGCCTGTTTCAGCACTTGCTTTATTGTCCACAGTTGAGTCATTACTTGATGAAGAAACGGTCACTAGATGAGAAACCTCACATGACTTTGCATCACATTCTTCCTTCATTCCTTCCCTCTCAGAGATAAACCCAGTGTGTTTTTTCGGAGTATTGTTATTTCTTTTCTCAGAGCTAACTTCAGAATCATCATGTTTTTCTGGAAGGTCATGACTATTTATTTCAGAAATTCCATTGCTACCACCAAACCATCTTCGCCAAACTTTTCTAACAAAACCAACTTCAGATGCAGAATCTTGTTCCAGCATAGGAGCCTGATGACCCTCAGTTACCTGCTCATTAGATGCTTCAGCAATCTTCTGACCAACTGGAAGGGGCTGTTGGACTCCCTCTGGAGGCTCTTCTGCATTAACTTTAACAAGATTATCATTTTCTGTTGGGCTTTGTGGTACCTTTCTTGGAGTAACTCCAGAATTAACTTCAGGGGAATGATGCAATGTGAACTTTCCATTT